ATAAACAGTGTTTCTCATTAAGGTTTATATTGAACTGTTTTGGAATAAGACTTATTAATGAACTCTAAATGATCAGAATATCGATCTGTTTGTTGTTTGTGATAAACAACATGGCCTCTGATCGGAGCTCTGCAGGCAGGAATGCGCCTGTTGCACCGGCTGACCTGAGACCAGCACACCGTGTGTTCTCCCGCTCAAGCCGCCGCAGAGACCGACCTGAGGTCAGTTCCCCAGCGCCGCCGCAGAGCCCGCCCACAGGGAGGTTAACGCACACTCTGGCTTCCACCTCCGGTGTCGAGGGGCCGCCATTTTTGTAGCAGATAAAACAACTATTTTTAAAATCGTTGGCGGCAGGTGAACACCTGTCGGACTCTCAGGTACGTCCGGAGAAGTAAACTCGCGGGAATCTCCGAGGGAAGAAGGTAAAAGAAGCTTTAATTTAACCCGCTAACGGTCTGCATGCGCACAGGCTAACGGCTAACGGCTAACGGCCAGCGTCAACGGACACAGTGAAGACCGCGCTTCCGGTCCGGACTTTCAACATAAAATACAGCCTGACAGCATCGTTAAAGTAACATTAAACTCTCATTAGTAAACAGGACAAACAAAGATCAAATCAGAAATAAAAACAATGCAAGTAAAGTAAATAGATGTAAATCACATTCCTCTCTTACAGTCACTGACTTTAAAGGCTTCAACGTGACTTTATCCAGTCAGCCAAGAATAAGAAGAGTCCATTAACATCCAGCTAGAAAGCTTCTGAATGCATACAGAGCATCACTAAATACACTGTTTAAACATTTATTTTGCTTTGGGGGAGTTTTAAATATTTAGTTTGTAACATCGGAGTCGTTTCCTGAGTTTCTGTAAGACACTAATTAAGAGATTCTCTAATATTGTTGTTTTATTTTGTACCTGTTGAACTGCCTTTAAAGGACCAATACAACACATTAAATGCAGTTTGGCACTTTATTTGGACCTTTAGGGGAAGAAAACCTTTAAATGTGTCACTATCAGATCTAATATTGAACGTCTACAGCAGAAAGCTCAGTGACATTGTGCCCTTTAGCACACTACATATCCTCAATGTCTTATTCATAGAACATAAATATAGTTATATACTGTAGTATAATGTACAAACTTGTACTATTTGTGTTATATCATGCACATATTTTATATTATAATAGAAAACAAAAGTATTAAGTATTTATATCTCAGACAGGATCCGCTCTTATTTTGAATGCCACACTCACAACATCCGGCCGTGTGCCCGCCGCCTCCCGTTAACTTTCCTCGGTAAACAAGCACCGGAGCATCCAGACGAGCCGCCGCGGCAACTACACTGCACGTTTCTGCGCATTGTGAATGAAAGTGAGCACACACACCGAGCCGTTAGCGCCGAGTGCGGGGCGGTGAACGCGGGGCGGTGAACGCGCACACGGACGTCACTCTCTGCGGGATTACTGCTGTTTTAGCCGGCTAGCTGCTAGCATTAGCATTAGCAGCTGCCCGGCTGCCTGCTCACAAACCTGGACACGGTGAGTAGCTGCTCCGCCTCCTCCGCTGGATGAACCCGCGTTCACCCGACTGTCTGTGGGAGAGAGAGGCAGAAATAACCGGTACCGTTCATCGGTTCATCAGGAGAGGCTCCGGTGAGCGGCGGGAGGCGCGCGCGTTAAGATGCTAGTAACCGGATGTGGAAGTAGTTTTTTCACCGCGTGTAAAATAGGAAATTTCTGACTGACTTCCGACGGAAAACCAACAACTTAATATCAGACGGTTTCCTGTCGGTGGGCCGTAAATGTGTCGGTGGAGCAGGTTGAACGGCGGCGGCGGTAAATAAGAGCCCGGGGAGGGAGAGAGGAGACCGGGGGGTACGTGGCACATGGCGGACTCTTTCTGTCCGTGGAGGCGCGTAAAATGGCTCCTCGGCTCTGGAGAGAAAATCCTCGTCTTTCTCCGCTGTTTGTCAGTCTCACACGCCGGATTCCATTATCGGACAGAACGTACCCAGCTTTTTGGACACTTTTTCCGATTAAAGATAAAAAGAGTGTTTCATACCGGTGCTACATGTTTACAGTCAGCTGCAGGTTGAACGTTGTTTGTTTGTGTAGTTTTATGCAGTTAGCAGCAGGGCCGGATGGGGGGGCGGGGGGAATTAAAAAAATAATAACAAAAGCAACTAAATTTTAGACTCAGTGATCGCTAATGCTCAATGCATTTGTTAATAAGACCATTAATTAATTTCTGATGCTTCAGATATTAGAGCTGCTCAATCAATAACAATCAATAACAATCTGGATAATGTTATAAAGAGTTCGGTCTAGACCTGCTCTATTTGAAAAGTGTCCTGAGATAACTTCTGTTATGAATTGGTGCTATACAAATAAAATTGAATTGAATTGAATTGGACAATCGTTGAAGCTGCAACGTTTGATAAAGTTAGAATGTGACAAACAGCATTGTAATGAAGTGCTGACTACAAACCTCGTTCTCCAGATGTTAAATAAAAGTAAAACCACTAACCATGAATCACAATATCTGTCGAAACAATCAAATAAGATTTATTTGAACCATAATATTAATCATTTATGTGATTGTGATTAAATGATCTGCCCCGGGATCAGCTCCCATTTTATTAAACTATTAAGACATTGATCTTTCTTCACATGTTGTTTGTTTCAGGCATATAAAAATATCTATTGTACTAATAATAATAATAATATCTGTTAATGATCACTGATGATCTATAGAATAATAATAATAAATGAGGACCCACTGACCCACTAATAACTTATTACATTTATTTAATCTCAGTCCTCCGTGGAGCATTAGAGGGACACGGACCTCCGTTTGAGTTTACTGCTGCATCAACGTATAAACATCAACAGTAAATAAAGCTGAAATGAACATGTAAACAAAGAGTGTGTGTGTGTGTGTGTGTGTGTGCAGATGTCGTTGGTGGACCTGGGGAAGCGTCTGCTGGAGGCGGCTCGGAAAGGTCAGGACGATGAAGTCAGAAACCTGATGGCCAACGGAGCGCCGTTCACCACCGACTGGGTGAGCCTGCGTTGTTTACTCTGCGTACAGATTCTGTGTTTGTACGTTTATTGACGAGATCATCGGACGCTGAGAACTGACGTCCGTCTGTCCGTCCTGCAGTTGGGGACGTCCCCCCTCCACCTGGCGGCTCAGCACGGTCATTACTCCACCGCCGATGTCCTGCTGAGAGCCGGCGTCAGCAGAGATGCCCGCACGAAGGTGGACAGGACCCCGCTGCATATGGCCGCCGCCGAGGGACACACCGTCATCGTGGAGCTGCTGGTCCGGGTAAGACCCGATCAGGATTTCTGTGACCTCTGACCTCCCAGAACTGAAACAGTGTCTTTAATAAATCTGTGTGTGACGCTCCAACAGAGCGGCGCCGACATCAACGCCAAAGACATGCTGAAGATGACGGCTCTTCACTGGGCGGCGCAGCATGCTCATCACGGCGTGGCCGAGACGCTCATCAAGCACGGCGCCGATGTGCACGCGCTCAGTAAGTTCGACAAGACGCCGTTTGACATCGCCGTCGACATCCAGAACACGGAGCTGATGCTGCTGCTGCAGGTGAGTCTGCCAGAACCAGAACCTGGTTCCCTAACGGACCCCTGAATGAGTCGTTTACAGATCCAGTTTACATTGTGAGGACGGATAGAAAACTCATGTTGACCCTGTTTGTCTGACCTCTGACCTTTGGTACAGTCCCACTTATTAATTAGAAATTAGATCTGACAATGAAACCGACTGGGTTTCACACACACAACACACACACACACACACACACACACTCACCGACAGACACACACACACTCACCGACAGACACACACACACACACTCACCGACAGACACAGACACACACACACACACACTCACCGACAGAACACACACACTCACCGACAGACACACACACACACACACACAGACACACACACACACACTCACAGTCACCGAAAGGTGGCTCTCTTTCTGGGTTTGACTCCTGCTGTCACCGGCACTCAGTCACATTACGCTTAGCTGCACAGTTGACCCAGACACACACACACTCACTGATCAATCTGTCTGTCAGGAAACTGTAAATGACCTCTGTACCGTACCGTTATTCCTGGTTCAGTCTCGGAGGCTGTGTTCGATCCCGGTAGTTTAGTTAAAGCTACCTAACTCACAATTTACATAAATGAGCTAACTAGTTAGCATTTTGCTTAAAATAGCTCAGAAGAGAGAAAGCATTAGTAAACGCCCCCGAGTGCAGGATGAGTCATCAAATACTTTTATTGATTATCAGGAAACTGTAATATCTGAACCTGGACTTCCTGTTCCTGTTGGACATAAACTGAAACACTGATTCTGATTTTATGGAGATTTTAAAGGAACAATTCCACCTCAGCTCACCTGGTTGTTCTAACATCTGTGTGTGTGTGTGTGTGTGTGTGTGTGTGTGTGTGTGTGTCTGTGTAATTTAGAAAGATACAAACAAAAAAAAAAAAAATTTTTTTTTAAAAAAAAAAAAAAATTTTTTTTTCTTTTTTTTTAAAAAAAAGTCATTTTCTGTGGTTGCTTTTTTTTTTATTATTTGTGTTACTCTTTTAATATATTTTAATATGTGTGTGTGTCTGTGTTTGTGTGTGTGTGCAGGAGGGCATGCAGAACCAGGTGAATATGAACCAGGTGAACATGAACCAGGTGAGTATGAACGTGGAAACCAGCACCACCAACCAGCCGCAGTTCATCATCCAGGGAATACCTGCCATACAGGGGGGCGTGGTCAACCTGGCCGAGCTGCTCAACAAGGCCAACCAAGGTACGAACACCTGCGAGCTCTCTGGCGCCGAACCTTCAGGCGGCTCCTGTGAAGGCGTAACGTTTGTGTCTCTGTGTTTCAGGAGACTCGGAAGAAGCGATGGCCGCCAGCGCTCTGGACTCCAACATCCAGCACGCCTCCGTCGTCAACGAGGGGGGTCAGAGGGTCATCACCATAGTAACGGACCAGCATGGCAACCTGCAGACCACAGGAGGGATGGCGCCGCCGTTCTTTGTCACCATGCAGCATGGACAGCAGAGTACGACACACAAAAGCTTCTCACAGTCTAATCAATACTCTGATAATCAATACTCTGATTATCAATCTGTTTGTCGGTTTGTTCTCAGTGTTGGCGGTGCCAGCTAACACTGTGACAGAGGAGGTGGTGACGGAGGAGCCTCAGCCTCCTCCCTCCAGGAAGAGGAAGCTGGAGGTGACCAACAATCACAACGACACAGGAGAGACGGTGAGTTCGACTCTTCTTCCTCCTCCTCCTCTTCCTCCTCTTCTTCCTCCTCCTCTTCCTCCTCTTCCTCCTCTTCTTCCTCCTCCTCCTCTTAAGCTAGTTAACAGTAGCTTTCAGATGTAATACCGTTTGATAACTTACTAGCTCATGTAGTTATAAAGTAGAGGAGATGGTGAGAATGACACTCCTCTTCTTCTTTGTCTTGTTTCTCTCCTCCTCCTCCTCCTCCTCCTCCTGCAGGAGTTGTTGCAGCGGCAGCTCCTGGAGGCCAACAGGAAGGCACAGGAGTACCGGCAGCAGCTGATGCGTAAGGAGCAGGAAGCTGAGGAGTACCGCATCAAACTGGAGGCCATGTCCCAAAGTCAGGCCAACAGCAACAACGCCAACAATGCCGCCGCGAGCGCTGCCACCAACGCCGCCAGCCCCGAGGAGGTGGTGGGAGGGGAGGAGGACGAGGAGGAGGCGGCAACCGGCATGGTGGAGGAGGAAGGAGAGATGGTGGTGCTGCAAGAGGGAGGGATCATCATGGAGGGGGAGGAGGGTCAGGTGACACTGGTGGAGACGGGGGGAGAGACAACGGAGGTCAGCTCCTAACAGAGAGGGGGGAGGAGGGGTGAGGAGGGGTTAAAGACAGGAGGTGGTTGGTTTGACTCGTGCTAGTTTGCATCCACTTTAACGGGTGACGAGTGTGTGATGGAGGGGAAGGAGATGAGGATGGTTTGCACCATTTTGAATCCCCGAAAGACACCGAGAGGACAAACAAAATGGAATCCCAAAAACTGTAGGAGAGATACGATTGAAAACAGACTGGAGGAGTTCAATCGTGCTCCATTTTGAATTCCTGAACACTTCAGAGAGGGAAACAAAATGGATTCCCCAAAAAGACAACGCAGCAGGAGAAAGACGGACTGAAAGAGGCCTGAACAAGACAGAGGAGTTTAGTCATGCACCATTTTGAATCCTCAAAAGATTTGATTCCAACTTGTCAAAGTGGGAAACAAAATGACTTCTCAGAATAAGACAATACAGACCGACTGAAGACAGACGGGACGGAGTTGAGTTGAGCGCCATTTTGAGTTCCCACTTGTATTATAGCTGATTGGCTACTGAAGAGGGATGCAAAACTGGGTCGAAGAGATGGAGACCAACTGAGGACGAGGAAACCAACAGCAGAGAGGAAACAGATTAACTAAGGAGGAGGTGGGAACACTTTTTAAAAAAAATTGTAACCACAATCAGTGATCCCAAACCAAACCAGAATAATGACAGGAGGGTTTGGAAAGACCTCCTGAACATCACCTTGACGCACCGTTTTGCTTCCCCCTTCATCCTGGAATGCTTATGAAGACAATAAACCTGAGGATGCAGCAGGAATTTAGAGTTTTAGTTTGTCAGTTAAACAATTTCCTTTATTTTTGAACATGGATGGTTATCCCCAGTATACCCATTAATATCCCTGTTATTTCAGTTATATCAGTGTTTGTCAGTGGGTTGCTTTTATTGGGTGAACCAGCAGCGCTGTTCATCTGATGCCCTCATAACTCTAATGATGTGTTCCCACCAAACCTAAGGTGAATATTGGCTGTTTAATCTGTCTCACTGCGTCAGTATGAGCCTACAATAATCAGATGTTTCTGTGATTTAATGTCAATAAATGGATCAATATGATGCTGAACTAACGACATCATGATGGCGATTTGTCAAAAGTCTGAATTCATCCTCTATCGGTTTGTCTGCGAGACGATGAACAAAAAACTTTTAACATGTTTTCTGAATGGAGTTTGGTTGATCGGGGTCATACCAACGTCCTCGCTTCCTCTTCTGTCCGCTCTCTCTATAAATATAAACTAAATCATTTTATTCACGTTTGGTGGGAACGCAGCATAAGTCTTAATCAGTTAGGACCATGTTACTCTCACCTCGCTGGAGCTTTAGCACCATTTTGCTTCCCCAAAAAAGAGCAGACACCATCCGGCCACAACTGAGAGCAGAAAAAAAAAATGTCTGACTCACTCTGACCTGCTCTCCTACTTCTTATGGTTGTTTATAATTAGTCACTTTTCCGATTTAAGGACTAATACGACTTAAGAGTTCCCGTTTATGTCCTGAAAAATTGAACTTCCTTTGAGTCCAGACAAGAACTGAACCAGATCCATCATGGAAACCTTCAGTTTATCAAATCTGTCATTTAGTCGTAATTTTTGTGGTAATGAAAGGACGAGTTCGGAAACTGTCGGTGAGTTCAAAGACGCTGAGATAGCTGAAATATGAGAGTTGGCTGCTGATAAGGAACTAAATCTCTAACTCATCGTGTGCATACCATCGACTGTGTATAAAGACGACTAATCAGCAACCTGCAGTTCCTCTAATGTCCACTAGAGGCTGGCTCCAGCAGTGAGTCAGTCTCAACAAGCCCTTATATTAAAATGTCCACCTTTACAGAAACAGAACATGTTCACAGATCCAACTGGCTGGCTAATCAATGTAGAGTTTTACAAGAGCTACTTTTTCTCTAGCAATACACTAGCTAACTAGATTATTAATTACTTTTTAACTAATTAGCTAGTGTTTTGTTAATTATGCTGTGAGCTATAACTAGCTAGTTAAAGATTCATCTAGATTAACTAGGCAACGATTCATGTATGTTAGCTAGCTAGCGTTTGCTACAGAGCAAAACTCTACAGCTAACAAGCTTAATCACATTAATTGATAGCTAATTAGCTAGCATTTTGCTAACCTTAGCTATCAGATGTAACTAGCCAGGGGTCCTCTTTGTTGCTGGTGGAGTTTTGGTCGAGCTTTGTATCAGAATGCTAAGCTAACAGCTAAAGTAGAAGTTCTGTCATCCTCATACGCAGTCGGTGGGATGAACCGCGTCAGTTCAGGCTGTTTCTTTAACATAATAATGTAACTTTGAGCTGAACTTTGGCTGTTAATGATTGATTATTGACTGATTATTGATCTCAGTGGAGCAGTTGATTTTCACAGACATGAACTGAACGTCAGTCTGGAAGAAATGAAATGGAGATCAGTCTCACAGTGGGAGAGCAGTTATTGATCACTACCGATCAGCTGATAGACCCCTCCCTCCTCTTGAGTTGAGTGTGATAGTTATTTTTATAAACTCAGCGAAGCCAACCTTTTTCTATGTACATATAAAGTTGTATTTTTTTAACTGTACCTGAATGCTTCACCGTGACGACGACGATGATGATGATGATGATGATGATGATGATGATGATGATAGCTGCCTGCATTGGTAATCTGAAATATAAACACTTGTTTTTTGAATAACAACTTTGTTGTGTATTTGATGCTTTCGCACAGTGACACCTGAACTCAGCGTGAGTCAGTTAAAATTATCTTATTGATAAAATAAGCCCCGCCCCTTTTGGAACCAACTTCCTGTACCTAGATATGCTATGTGCTAGGCTAATCTATTAATCTACGTTAGATATGATTAGTCACATCTTTAGTTGGTTTATGATTCATGTTGATTACCAGTATCTGGTGTAACGAGCTAGTTTACAATGCAGATTATGTATCTTACAGTTGATGCAGATTATGTATTTTACAGTTGATGCAGATTATGTATTTTACAGTTGATGTAGATTATGTATTTTACAGTTGATGTAGATTATGTATTTTACAGTTGATGTAGATTATGTATTTTACAGTTGATGTAGATTATGTATTTTACAGTTGATGTAGATTATGTATTTTACAGTTGATGCAGATTATGTAGCTAACAGTTGATGCAGATTATGTATTTTACAGTTGATGTAGATTATGTAGCTAACAGTTAATGTAGATTATGTAGTTTACAGTTGATGTAGATTATGTATTTTACAGTTAATGTAGATTATGTAGCTAACAGTTGATGCAGATTATGTATTTAACAGTTAATGTAGATTATGTAGCTAACAGTTGATGCAGATTATCTATTTTACAGTTGATGCAGATTATGTAGCTAACAGTTGATGTAGATTATGTATTTAACAGTTAATGTAGATTATGTAGCTAACAGTTGATGCAGATTATGTAGCTAACAGTTGATGTAGATTATGTATTTTACAGTTGATGTAGATTATGTAGCTAACAGTTGATGCAGATTATGTATTTTACAGTTGATGCAGATTATGTATTTTACAGTTGATGCAGATTATGTATTTTACAGTTGATGCAGATTATGTATTTAACAGTTGATGCAGATTATCTATTTTACAGTTGATGCAGATTATGTATTTTACAGTTGATGCAGATTATGTATTTTACAGTTGATGTAGATTATGTAGCTAACAGTTGATGCAGATTATGTATTTTACAGTTGATGCAGATTATGTATTTTACAGTTGATGTAGATTATGTATTTTACAGTTGATGCAGATTATGTAGCTAACAGTTGATGCAGATTATGTATTTTACAGTTGATGTAGATTATGTATTTTACAGTTGATGCAGATTATGTATTTTACAGTTGATGCAGATTATGTAGCTAACAGTTGATGCAGATTATGTATTTTACAGTTGATGCAGATTATGTAGCTAACAGTTGATGCAGATTATGTAGCTAACAGTTGATGCAGATTATGTATTTTACAGTTGATGCAGATTATGTATTTAACAGTTGATGCAGATTATGTAGCTAACAGTTGATGCAGATTATGTATTTAACAGTTGATGCAGATTATGTATTTTACAGTTGATGCAGATTATGTATTTTACAGTTGATGCAGATTATGTATTTTACAGTTGATGCAGATTATGTAGCTAACAGTTGATGCAGATTATGTAGCTAACAGTTGATGCAGATTATGTATTTTACAGTTGATGCAGATTATGTAGCTAGTTAGCTTGGAACTGCTAGCAGAATCATTAGCTAGAGTTTTACTAACAATAATTTACCAGACGTAGCTAGAGAGCTCAAGTTTTACTGTGTTTATATAAATAGTTGCTCAACTGCTATTGGAGCACATTGTAAAAGGGGCGGGGCTTAGGGTTGCAATGGATGACGCGCTTCAGTGCACCAGTGAGGCTCAGTGATAGACAGACAGACAGACAGTGTGATAGACAGACAGACAGAGTGATAGACAGACTGATAGAGTGACAGACAGAGTGACAGACAGACTGATAGACCGACAGACAGACTGATAGACAGACAGACTGATAGACAGAGTGATAGACAGACAGACTGATAGACAGAGTGATAGACAGACAGACAGACAGCTGCTTAATGGACCTCATGTGAGAGAGTTGACCTAAAATTAATGTTTGCTTCTGATAAATTTCAATTTAATGCAAAGAAGCAACTTCTGCAGAACTATCAGACGTCGACCAACATTTAAAATGATCCATGATGTTACAGTTTACAATCTAAAAGATCTAATGAATCATTTCCAGAGCTTTCAACAACAAATTGCAGCCGTTGTTAGCAGTTAGCAGGATTCCTAACACTAGCTAACTAGTTAATCTACTTTAATTATTAGCTAAGTAGCTAGCAATGTACTAACTTAAGCTATCAGATGTACGTAGCTAGCTCATGGTTAATGTAGATTGGCTAGTCAGCTATAAAGTTTAGCTTGATCTAGTTTTTCTCCGTAGCAAAATGCTAAGTAGCTAATCTAAATCAATTGTGTGCTAGTTAATTTAAGATATGAATATATATTTCTCTTATCTTCTAACCATCTTTAAAATATAGGTTTTGTATTAATCTTAATTATATTATGTAATTGTAAAGTTTAGTACATTAATGAACTGTTGAGTCAAATTGTTTGGATCACTAAAAATGGCCGAAATGCTGATTATTATTCATTATTCAATAGAAATAAATCCTTCAATGTGAGTCAGGTTTGATATATTTATTGTTGAGGGTTTTATAGCAAGCCCAGTTTGTGTGTACGGTACAGTGGGCTTTATAACGTTCAGTAGGAACCGCCCATCACTAGCGGATTATAGGCGCTCAGTCCTGATTGACGTGTCCGCCGTCCAATCAGCGGCGGCGGAGTGGCACACGGCCAACCCTGTTCGTCGTGGGGGCGGGGCCGCTGGGGAGGGGGCAGGGCGCGAGGTATCATGGAGGATCAGTAGGCGAACTGCGGCCATCAGAGGAGAGCAGCGACCGCTCTGATCCCCGGGAGTTCCTCAACTGTTCACCGACCGCCGTTCAGCCGCCGCCGCGCAGATACCTCACAATGGACATGAAGAAGAGGATCACTTTAGAGCTGCGGAACCGGAGCCCGGCGGAGGTGAGAGTTTATTATTTGTGTGAAATATCCCGGGAGGTGATGGCCGGCTGCTCGTTCATCACATGGCTTACCGATAACGGCACGAACGGACATTTAAAGCGCTCATCGATCAGTTTGATCAACTACCGGCGGCTCGGAGCGGCAGATGGATGTGGAAGCATCTCCGTCCGCCCCCTCCTCCTCTCTGGGGAAACCCCGTCGGACACAAATTAAACCATAAAACCGCGTTAACCACAACTCCATTGAATGTAATGCCACCGGCACCGTTCCGGTACAACACCATCACCCACTCACAACTGTAACTTTTAATCACCGGTCGCTCGGAGGAACTTTAACGGAGAATCCCTCTCAACATGCGGGCGGTCGGTTCGTGTTTATCGGGGAGATTTCCGCGGGCTTTCGTCCCGTACAAACTGCGCGTTCACCTCAACAACGACGACGTCGGTTGTGGCTTCGTCGTCCTGTGCGAGCGGACATCTTAAGTCGCTAACGGCTTAAACTTCGACGGAAATGTCTAATCTCCCGCCGTTACATCGACCTGCGCTGCGTTAAATTCGCTTTAGAAGTAAATTTAGCGCCTTTTTTGAGGCTTTTCGTCGACGTTTCCGTGCGACCCCGCTCGGTCGGTGGCGCACGGAGGTCGGTCACAGACATTTTGAGTCGGGCAGCTCGTGCTCGGTGGTAACGCGTTACCTGCTTACAGAAAGCGGATTAACGGCGGGAAAATGTGTCGATAACGACGAATATTTCCGTTAAAACAGGACTTTCCGCCGCGGGCCGTTACTGTAATGTGATTACCGAGCTGCTGCTGCTGATGATGATGATGATGTTTTTTCTCGTCAAGTTTAAAAAAAAACTTTATTGATAAAACAGAGTTCAGTCAATAATGAGCAAACGTTGAATTATAAAAGTAAAGTAAGAACTGTATGCTGAATGTTATAACAT